TATATATATATATATATATATGTGTATATATATGTGTATATATATATATATATATGTGTATATATATATATATATATGTATATATATATATATATATATATATGTATATATATATATATATATATATATATATATGTATGTATATATATATATATTAGTAAAAAAATATTTAATACAACAAAATTACTTGACTGTTTTTGTAATTTGAATGTCTCTATTCTTGAAAAAAAATTATTCCCCGCAAAATCCACTCATTATCCAAATAATTAAATTCATTCACAAATAATAAAAATGACTCAAACTTCAGTTTTGTGAGCCCTTTTGACCCCTTCTAATATTTTCTAAGGTGATTTTAGCGCAATGCGAATGCAAGTTTGTATTGTAGTTTTCATTAATATTTTGAATTAAATTAGCTACTTTGTGACTTATAGTAGCTTCTTTTTTTTGAGTGTATTGTCAATAGAGGATGAGCACAGATAATGTTATAGGCATTTATTGAATTGGATAGTTTCAGAAGTCTTCAATTTCTTCAGGTTTTTAAATTAACTGAGAGGACAGTGTGATCAATAATCATAGCTAATTTAACTCAAATGCATCAAATTTTCACTTTTCACGAAAATTTCATGTTTATACTAATAGGTTGTTTTCAAATGACGTCATTGATGAGGTGCAAGACTCAGATGGAGGGCAGGATGTGATTCTTTTACATGGAAACATTTTGATGCTCTGATAGCAATTCCTGTTTTATGTTTGTAATTGTTTAAATCGGCAAAAATGAGAAATGCCATACAGCTTTTATAGACTTTCAAAAGTTTTTGCTCCTATAAACATTTATTCAATACATCCACGTGTACAAACTTATTTTGAATGCGATAATTCGTTTGACAGCACTAATAAAGATTATTTACAGGTCTAGCTATGTGTATAAATGTTTGTGTTACATAAAAATCAGATGCAAACACCACCACACTTATACAAAATCCAGGAGATTATAAATAATGTACTCTGCCATGCAAGCGCTGCAATGAAATCTCCGTCTTGTTTTGCAATAATTCAAGTCTTTACTGGCATTTCGGCAGAATAAACAACTGTAACGTTAATGTCTATATGCACAGCAGCGGTGAATGTCCGTTGATATTAAGTTCATCGACAGATTTTTCTTGTGATTTTTATTTTTTATTCAATTTTTTTTTTTTTTGCGCATCATTGTCATGTAGCAAACTAATTATAAGAGGGGGCGTGGCTAAGAATATTGGCAAACTGATGTCATCAGAGGAGAAAAGACAGTTCAAACATGGAAACAAATGCTCAGATTTGATTGAAGATTACTAAACCAACATTTTTAAAGCAGATTAACTTAATTGTTGCTTGCAAAAGAAACCTTGCAAGTTCTGATATCCCACGTACTTTGTTATTTGATTTACTTTTCAGGAGCTGTACATTGCGGTTGGCATCTCTGGAGCTATTCAGCATCTTGCTGGAATGAAGGATAGCAAGGTACGTTTAATAATGTGTCTGCATACACACCTGCACATCAGAGTACACTTAGAAAATATAAATTTCTGTGATAATATCTTCAATTAGAGGAAACCCACTAGGGCTGAAAGATAAATCGCATGCGAAAGTCGGCTCTTCGATGAACTGTGAATCTCCAGCATCTGTGTTCAGCTGGAGCAGTCTTTACTACACACAGCCATAGTTATACCAAACTACGGAAACAAATGTATGTGTTATGATCATACAACAGTCAAATAATCATCATGTTGATATTGACATTAGAGAAAGTGAAACCAGTTTCGCTTTTAGACGGCCCCGTAAACAACAACAGTACAGACGGCAGATTCTTCTTGGCTTTGTGGCTGTGCTCGGGTCGACCATGGCTCATTATTATATGTATATATTATTCTTACGCTGTAATGCCTCGGTGGTGTGTTTAAGATTGGTGCTCCCTTTGTTTTTATTCTCCTGGCTTGTGCATGAGCTCGTGCTTCTCTGTAAACCAATAGCGTACAGCTGCACGTCTCGCTCTGCCTTTCTGTATCCTTTTTGTTGTGCTAGGTACGCTTTTAAAGTGTAGCCAAAAAAGGTGCGGTACGGTACCTCAGAGTTTCCAGAACATGTCAAGTTAACTTATCTGAAATGTGACGCTGTATTGGAATGGAGTGATTTAAACGCGATCTGGAGGAGCTTTTTACCTGCATCCATAATTCATCTGCATTTTCTGTTCAGTTTCTCATTGTGGCGCTTTGTCCCATCACTACAATCATCCCCCGTATGTTCCCTACACGAGCGTCATCCTTGTTGATGAGACGTTTACCAGAACAGTGTGTTAGCACTGCTGCGCTTGCTCTGGGAATTTACTGCTGGGAATTAGTTCTCATGTTAGACTATGCTGAGTATATACTATAGTGATGTAGCCCATCATTGCAAGTAATTCACTTAATTGATTTACAGACCATCGTAGCCATCAACAAGGACCCAGAAGCCCCCATTTTCCAGGTGGCTGACTATGGCCTAGTGGCAGATCTGTTCAAGGTAAGAGTTCTAGTTGGAGTCGTTACCTATGTTAGCCTGGCAGTTAGCAGATAATGGTGCTCATGTGAGAAACAACTTCCTGCGTCCCTATAATATATCTTTTCTTTGTAGTATTTGAAGATAAAATTGGTGTGCCAAATCATAGTATCTTCAAATGAGTGAAGTTAATCGAATGGTAGAATTTCATGGGAATTATTAGGTGTAGTTTTATGAAACTTTCAATCTTTCATTTGTTTTACTGAGGTCTGATGACAATTCTTCTATATTTCACACACATATTGTCATTGACACCCTTTTTTTTTTTGTTAAAATGACAATTGGACTAAATAACTAATGTTTGTTGTGACTGAAAACCACATATGGAATCTTCTGAAGGTAAAGCATTGGTATTGTGCTGTTTAAAAATGAGCACAATGATTTAGTGCCATGTTTTTAAGATTGTTATTATTTAAGTTATACTCTTTTTATACTTCATTTAGAAGAAATGTCATTTGTAGTTTAATAGAAAAAAAGAAAAATGATTGTTTTAATCAAACATAACTTTTGCATATCTAGAGCAGAACGGCCGGTGTCCTGCAGTTTTTAGTTCCAACCCCAATCAGACAAACCTGGGCTAGCTAATCCAGCTCTTATAATGTGTTCACACCAGACACAGCATGTGCTAATAAATCTTGATGTTCATGTGTAAATAGACATGCAAACATTTTGTGTTTACTCGCTTCATTTGCACGTCAAATTCACTTCATTTGCACATCAAATTTACTTCACAATGGATGTGGATTCACGTCATGTGCAGGACTTCTGTCTGCCCAGTCACTAGCTTTGTTGCAGAATGGCTAACATGGATTTTCATTGAAAGAATATCTGTTTATGTGCTTTAGGAAGGCTAAAAAAAACGTGTATTTCCACGGTATAGTCCACTTGATCCTTTCAGAGGTGCACTCAGCTCAGTTCATAAACTTCTCCAGAAGCTATACCTGGATGATGGAGGCTGTCAGTGGCTTCTGACTGAGGCGAGCCCAGTTTGTTGAGCTGGTGTCGGCAAGAGGATTTCCCCTCAGGACACCAACAACAACCACTACATCATAATCGCGCCCCTACAAGAGAAAGCTCCTGATTGGTTCACGTGGCGTGAATGTAAGAGTTTAGATTTTCCGATTCGAGTGATTTATGCATCAAACGCTTAGCTTGCACTGCTTCATTCACTTGAATCTAACGCCAGATGTCTATTCCAGTATTTGAGTTGACTTGACATGTTAATCACTCACGCTTGATGCTTCATCTGCGTCTGGTGTGATCGCAGCATTACTAGGCTTTCTAGAAACATCCGTGGGTCCCACTTTATATTAAAAGTCTTTAACTACTATTTACTTGCATCAAAAAATAAATACAATGTACTTACTGTGTTTATGATGTATTTGAGAACACTTGTGGTGCTATTGAGTTGGGATAGAGGTTGGGTTATGGACAGGTTTGGTGGCATGGGTAGGTTCAAGGGTGGGTTAAGGTGTAATGGATGGTCAACAGTGTATTTACAAATGTAATTGCAAAAGTTAATTACAGATGTACTTGCATACATGTATTTAATCAAGCATAAGTACACAGTAAATACACGTATTTACACAATAAGTGCATTGTAACAAACTATTAATTCCTGTGTAAGTACATATTAGTTAAGGCCACTTAATATAAAGTGGGACCCTCCTGATTTAGTGAGACCTTCACAGAAGAGAAAATGTAATTATTTTCTCTCGTGAATTCTTAATCCTTGGCCATGAGCGCCTCGGTGCAATGTGTCAGCACACTTTACCACTAGGCTACTGGTGCCAACCATTAGATAAAATTGAGTTTATAATGGTAAAATTATGAAATGCCCATCCTGACCTCGTCATTCAATCCAAAAGGAATTTAGGAACTGGACCAACATATTTTAGCTTAAAAATCAGGCAAGAAGCCTTTGAACGTTCTTTTTTTTTTTTTTTGAGTGTCCAACTAAGGATGAAGTATCCGTAACAAGAAAGATACAATCTTCTTCCTCTGAAACATCTCATTAGTACAAAAGATCCCCATCAGGTCATCAGAGACATTTTAATCCATTGCCTCGGACAATCAGCAGAACCGTTCATGTTTATTATTAATAGCGCTGTAAATTTCAAATGACCTGGTATTAATTTCTTCAGCAAACCCAGTCTACAACCAAACCCAAATAGACTGAAAAAACCCTGTCCCATATTTCCCTTTTAAATGTTGCAGGATGCATTATTCCACCTAATGGAAAGTGTGCAACTTCTGAATTATTGAGTTGCTGAATTAATCAGTGGCGACTCGTGGCTCCGTCCAGAAGCCTTATGCACAACTTCTCCTCCTTTCCAAGCAGAAAAGTAATTGATAGTCAGCACAAGTGTGCGGGTGTAGTTTTTCACCTTTATTTTCTGTTCCCTCTCACCAAACCTTTACACGCCCGACTGCACACCATAGTTCAAGGTGGCACACATGCTCTCAGTGCCAGAGGGCTGCCACACACACACACAACAACCCATCCATCTGTTGTTGGTGTTTACCTTGTGTAACGCTAGCATCGTTTATTTGCCTGTGTTTGCCCTGTCGCTCATCTTTTATTCAGGCGGTGCGTGCTACACACAGGTGTGCAGGTAAACTGTGTAAAAGTGATTGCCAATGATGGGCAGCACTGGTGAACAGGAGCAGCTCTGAGATCAGTTTACACACGATCGCTACTCAGATAACAAATTAAAATGTATGGGCTTTCTCCTCCTGCCTGGGATTGAAAAGTGATATGGGGACATATTGGGGTGACGATATAGTTTTTCAGGCTTCTCTGGAATACGGGAGCGCTTCGGTTTTGGATGAGAACCTCAATGTATAGAAAAATTTAAGTTGTTCTCAAGTGACAATCACTTTGCCTAGGATACTTTCTAGAACAGTGGTCTCAAACTCAGTTCCTGGAGGACTGCAGCTCTGCTTAGTTTAGCTCCAACCACCTCTAACTCACACCTAGTGTCTAGTACTCTTGAACACCATGACTAGTTGGATCATCTGTATTTGATTAGGGTTAGAGCAAAACTGCAGAGCTGGAGGAATTTGAGACCTATGTCCTAGAACAGGGGTGCTCAACCCTGCTCCTAGAGATCTACCTTCCTGCATAGTTCAGCTCTAACCCTGATCAAACAATTATTTAGGACCTGAACAGCACTTTACAGTCAGGTGTGCTTAATAGGGGTTGCAACTGAAATTTGCAGGAAGGTAGATCTCCAGGAACAGGATTGAGGTAGTTGTTCTAGAAGGAACTTTGATGCAGAGGGTTTACCTTTAGAAGTCAATGTACATGTATGTCCCTGTTCAGTTCCTGTCGCTGGAGGTAAATTTGGCTTTGCAAGTCCCACTGTCTTGCATGCTTTAATTTCAACCCTAACCACACAAACTTGAACCAGCTATATCAGAGGTGCCCAAACTTGATCCTGGAGGGCCTGCAGAGTTTATCTTCAACACAGCTGCCAGGAAGTTTTTAGTAAGAGCTTGATTAGCTGGTTCAGGTGTGTTTGATTAGGGTTGGAGCTAAACTCTTCAGGACACCGGTCCCCCAGGACCAAATTTGGGCACCCTTGGGCTAGATCTTAAAACTAGACCAGGGTGTCCAAACTCGGTGCTGGAGGGCTTGTGTCCTGCAGATTTTAGCTCCAACTTACCTCAGCACACCTGCAAGGATGTTTCTAGAAAGCCTATAAAAGCTTGATTAGCTAGCCCAGGTGTGTCTGATTGGGGTTGGAACTAAACTTTGCAGGACACTGGCACTCCAGGACTGAGACACTGGACTAGACACTTCTAGGTAGGTCATGTTGGAACTAAAAAAATGGGTGCAGGATTAAGGACCCCTCACATGCTGGAGCACTAGTGCTCCAGCATGCTCTAGGATAAATGCTCTAGGATGGTGTAGTGACTGCTGCAGATCTACATGTTCATCTTAATGATGATTAGATTTCTATTCTGAAAGATTATGCACATTGAAAGTAAACATTAAATTAAATCCAAGCGTTGCCTAATGTAACGGTATCAATTCATCAGTAATTTATTCTTCTGTGGATCTATCTCCAGGTTGTACCTGAGCTGACAGAAGCCCTGAACAAGTAAGACTTCACAGGATTATGCTACTCCACATGAAAACTTTACATGAAAACTTTACTAAGACTTTACTTGCCTTAAGAAGCTCTGAACAGATGCTCCATTGATGATCACCTTCTGAATGTGATTGTCCTCCAGAACACTTAAATCTACTTTCAACATCACACCACTTCTTGCAATAAAAGAATTCCTTGATACATGGGATTGAAGTTTTGTAAGTTGTAAACAAATTCAGGATTGTCTGACTTTGCTCCTGGTACACGTTGTACTGCAGATTTCAGGTCCAAAGCTAATAAATGCTAATTTGTGGTCTTCAGCCTGTCTAGAAGCTTCCAGACCAGTGATGCACAAACCTGAACTGTGTACAACGTTTACCATCCATGAGCAAGATTGATCCTTACTTGGCTTAAACTAACGTTAGTGTAGTAGTTCAGCAGTGGTAGGATACTCTTTAAATATTCTTTGTAATCTGTTTATGGAAGCAAGTTGATCTTTGGTATATATTAGTAAGATTGCAAACTGTTCATCGATGTTCACCATAGTCCAATAAACCTATTAAATATACATGTGCTTTTGTTTCCTATTACTCTCATAAAGGACAAGAAATGCTTCTATGGCAATACTGCAAATGCCATAGATGTGCACATGTTTGATTACAACAAAATGAAGCTGGACGTTTGAATTTACCAACTTTTAATTGCTTGACAATTTCTCTCATTATCAGTTTATAAAATCCCTTGTCGATAACACAGGATTAATTTGCCTTAGTCAGAAAGCAGATATATCTTTTCAAAGGCTCATGCTATTGGGATGGGGTTAAGGTTTGGGGTTATGACAACATTCTAACCATAATTTCTCATAAAAATCTTCTAATACGGTATACCTGAAATGTTCGCCTATTGTTTGCTCTCCGTGTTTTAAAAATACTTGAGTTTAGCACTTTTTTTTTCCTCGCATAGAATTTGAATACAAACATCAGCATCAGTAATGTAAGAAAGGCAAAGGTAAGAAATTTGGCTGAATCACACAGCTTGACATTTGAACACGGATCAAATGTAACCCTGCAGCATTGGGGGTAAAAGGACTGTACATTGTGTGTCAGTTACATTTCGTACAAATTAACAAATTAAAAACTCCCTCCCACGCCACCCTGAATGAGAACACATGATAAGTCTTCCAGCCACACTCCGATATTGGCCTACCATCTAAAAGAGTGCGTCTTTGCTGGTTTCATACAACACTCACCCAACAGACACGCTTAAATTCCTGAAGGATCTTCCAATGATGGCTCCCAAAGTACCTCTCCCTGACTCCTTGGAAGGTTGTGCAATTTTGGCAGGAGTGAGACAGTTCAAGTGCTCTTGCAGAGTTGGAGAAAGAGAGAGAGAGAAATGTGCATCTGTAAGGAGGAACGTTGCATGAGGCGGGTAGCAGAGGGCATTATCCTGATATCACTTCCTGTGCCCCTATCTAAGAACATGAAACCTGGGAGTGAGTATCATAGTGCTGTTTGACAAAGAAAGAGACCGATTGGCTGTGTCCGAAAACAAAAGAAACTACTGCCCCATCATTCAACAATTCTGTATGACTCTACAGCAGGGATGCCCAATCCTGTTCCTGGAGATCTACTTTCCTGCGTAGTTCAGCTGCAACCTTGATCAAATGCACCTGTCTTTGATTAGTGCTCCTTTAGATCTTACTTGGTTGTGTTTGATCAGGGTTGGAGCTGAAATCTGCAGAAAGGTTAATCTCCAGGAACAGGATTGGCACCTCTGCTCTACACCCTAAAGCAAGGCTTCAAATCCAACCTTGGAGTCTTTTGCATTGTCTTGTTTAGAGTATTTCTAAAGACACTGATTAGGTTGTGTCTTTTGCGTTGAGTTAACCAACCTCGACAATCTCTTTTCCTATACTACTGCTCCATCAGAACCAATTCTTAAGGAACCACTTGCTGCAGGTTGTGTGATATGAATAGGGAACAATATGGCAAGTCTGTCGAACAAAATGAAGCATCGGTGCACACTGATCGGTAAACAATTCCTGTCACTAGTTCATGCCTCAGATGTGTAAAGCAGTGTTTGCCAGTAGTTTCTGTGCACTCATGCAGATTATAGATGTTTAATGTCTCCCTTACCAGATCAATCAATTTTAAGAGTTGATGAGTTAAGGGCTGTTTGATTGACTGTTGAATTGTCCCCAAGAAAAGAGTCAGGAAATAAAGGGGATAACAGATAGGAGTGGTTGACTAAAAGCGAGTGTACATGATACAATTTTTGCTGTCGTACGAGCTTGTGCGTGATGTTTGATGAGTCCTGCATAACAGGGTTATCGGAATATAGTTTACAGCAGACTAGGCTTTATCATTTCTGGTGCTAAAAAACCTGTATGTATAGCAACTATTCATGGCTTGCATTGCATTAGGCTCTAATGTAAGCAAGAGAGAGACCATGAGTGTCTCTAAAGGAAAATCTTCCTGTCCATGTTTTTTGGCATGGACTTTAATGCAATTGCTTTAAAGCAATTGTGAATCACAATTTTCACAAACTCACTTATCCGTGGACATGGGATCTTCCTTCCACCATATTTCACACCATGCATGCCTGCCTTAACTCGCCCCTGTAAGAGCCATCCTCTTGTAGAGCTCAGCTTTAACCCTACTTGGGCCAGATTAATGTCTTCATAATCACTTAACCTCCAGATTTCGAGTAGTTTGCATCTCTGAAAGAATGGTGGACCTTCCAGGAGAAGGATTGTAAGTTATTCACAGGCTGACTAATGGCTGGAAAACACCACACAGTTTTTGCCCCAGTTAACAGCCTGGAGTAGTAGTTCTATAACACAGTTCCTTAAAATCAGATCTAGTCTACATATTTTGATCAATCAGAATTGACAGACAAGTCTATGTCTGTTTTTAAATTTGATCAGATTAAAAAAAACTCCATGATCTATTTCTACCTGTGGATGCTCCAGCAAATAACGGTCTACAGAAAAATTGTAGTTACTGTACTAGTCAGGACGTCTGTGGGTGCTGCCAGCAAAGGTCCATGATTCGCATTTCGGACACAGCCAATGAGTAAGCAATACAGAGAGAGGCCAAGAGAGAGGCTGCTTCAGCTGGTGTAGGTGCTCACCGTTCCACTCTTCATGCTCTATGTGTCTGGTATATGGCTCAGTGGAGTATCTGCTGGCTCCATAAGTCTGTACTTCTCATCCAGAGATGGCTCGGTCCCCTGCAGGTGAATTAGTGGCTTGGTCTGGAAAACACCCAGACTTTCCTGGTTTCTCTTGTTGTAAATGTTCACCCTGTGCTCCAGTTCCGGGCTGGCCTTTACTGACCCTGCCGGGCTGGGTAATTTAAGGTTGACCGGGTCCACCCTGCCTTTCTGCGCCAGGCAGGAGTCCTCAGACAAGGAGGAGAGCAGCTCTTTGACCACTGCGCTGGGGTCATGGATTCCCGGTTGCGTCCCGAGGGTCAAAGGGCTACAGTATGGAGGAGGGCAGCAGCGCTGACCGCTGTAGTCGGAGGTAGAGGCCTCCCGTACGGTAGAGCTGCAGTCAGTCGTGGAGCCCAGTGTGTGGCTGCTGACACTGTGCTGCCGGGCTGTAAAGCTGCAGCTGGACCGGGACATGGTCGTGCTGGATGCTTCACTTACAGAGCTGCCCGTTCGCTGCCCACTGCCTGGGCCATCAGCACTGACCAGGGAAGGAGGCAACTGGTTGGGGTTGGTGGGAAGGTGGACATCGATGGCTGCTGTGGTTATGACACGTGCACCAGGGTCAGGTACACCGATGTCTGCATGTACAACAGATGATATAACTTGGTGAATTAATGCTAGCCAAAAATTTAAAGTGTCAATGATAGTGGTCACGTCATCAGTGGCATCGTTTGGCATTTTGGGGTTATTCACTGCAGAACCAAATGACTTCTCTGTACAAAATAGGTGGAGTTAGGGTAGCGTTCTCAATCCTGGTCCTCTGCTCTGCACATTTTAGGGTGCTTTCACACCTGCCTTATTTAGTTCGATTGAATCGCACTAGAGTTCGTTTCCCCTTTTGGTACGGTTCGTTTGGGCAGGTGAGAATGCAGCAATCGTATTTGAGTGCGCACCAAAAGCGGACCAAATAAGCGTACCGAGACCTGCTTGGAGAGGTGGTCTCGGTACGCTTTCAAACGAACCCTGGAGCGGTTCGTTTGTGTTAAGGAATATGATTCGTACTAAAACAGGCCCAACCACAAAAAGTACTGCGCGTTTTGGATTAAAATTCAGCTGCCGTAGGCTGATGCGCTGTGCATTATGGGATATGGAGGAAAAATAGTTGTTGACAGCGCTTTACCAACAGAGAGAGAGAGGGGGGAAAACATTACCTGATGGATCGTTGGTAATATTTCTGCAAGATGACAATGTTGACGTTTAGCTAAATTAATTCACGTCTCCTCCTGAAGTGACGAGCGATGCATTAAACACTGTTTTCCGGCCGCGCTTCATTTTCATAATATATAATTTGTCTAAAGCAGGGATACAATCAGCCAGTGCAGTCGCCCCTCCAGAGTAAAAGGTTTTGTTTACCTGCAGGAGTTTAGTGGCATTTTCCCACACGTGAATTCTGACCAATCCTTAAGCAGTTTATGAAATATGTTCAACAACATCTGGCCAATGACAGATGTGGATTTTGTCAGATGACTGCATTTTGGTTCGTTTCAACTGGTTCGGACCAAAGCCAGCAGTGTGGTGTGAAAACGACCCAAAGACGGCAGAAAATGCACAGTGTATCATTTATTACCCTTGGTCCGGACCAAATGAAGCGAACTACAGATGTGAAAGCACCCTAAGATGTCTCTCGTTTATCACACCTGATTTTAAGAATCAGCTCATTGGAAGAGAGCTCAGTGAAGGAATTGTGTTCTGATTGACATGACCCCTACAGTGTTCACTGCACTCTACCCCAAAGCTGCTGCAGAAAACTTGCTGAAGTTATTTAATTTAAAACAATGTTTTGCACTGCACTGTTTGTAGCGTGGTCAGATTTATTGTCATGTGTACAGGGTAATTTTACCAAAATCTTAAGTTTAGCAAAAGTCATGTTTTAAGTTCTTCAATACTATTTGAATTGAAAACTGTTCTTTTGAACTGGATTTATGGCTGAATATCCTGTGATGTACTCTTGACAGAGCACTTATGATCAAATGGAACAAACCTCTAAAGCGGTAAAAGAAATATACAAAATGTACCGAGCAGTGGGTTAAAAGGACCAGAATTGAGAACGGCAAGGTTATGGTTTGCTTGAACCATCTAGTTCCACCCATTGGTATGAAGGTAAGCTCTGATTATTATCTAATAACTATACTGTGATGTTGGCACCCTCTCGTGCTAGTTCCTTTTCTGTTATTTTACATCTCTTTCACTTTTTAAAAATGATATACTTGCATGCTTAAATGTTAAATGTGCAGAAGACCTTATATTTCAGTATATTATGACACACAAACATCTTTGCTATCTAAACATCTAGGCCAGGGGTGTCCAAACTTGGTCCTGGAGGGCCGGTGTCCTGCATAGCTTATCTCCAACCTCCCTCAACACCTCCCTGGAAGTTTCTAGAATACGTTGAAAGAGCTTGATTAGCGAGTTCAGGTGTGTTGAATCGGGGTTGGAACTAAAATATGCAGGACACCGGCCCACCAGAACCGAGTTTGGACACCCCTGATCTAGGCCATTGAAAGGATCCGTTGAACACTACTTTAGTCGGACATACTGTATACAATGAAAGCAAGCAGGTGTGTGATACAGCTAAGGCAGTGGTTCTCAATTCCAATCCTAATAGAGTCAGTTAACAGGGAGATCCATGAAGGAATCCTCGTGTGTCAAATAAGAGAAACATTAAAATTGTGCAGGCGGGAATTGAGAGCTACTGATCTAAGGGATGCATTTGGCAATCAACATGCTTTTCAGAAGAATAATAAAAAAATATCACTACTTACCGCTACTTGGCTCACTGTAATACTGACTGATGTAGTTGTTCATATCATCCTGAACGACACTCTCTAAAACAAAAGAAATGTGTGTGAGTACATAACGAAGATCTTTTCCCTTCAGTGTTTGCTGTCTTAAAATAGAATCTGGATGATGATCGATCTCGGCATTTTTGTTTATAATGTATCTGCTTTTATAATGCAGAACTAACAAAGCAAAGCACTTGATGTGAAGCCATGAATGTGAGGAAAGCCCCTGCAAAAAAAAGAAAGAAAGAAAGAAAGAAAAAGTGCCTGTAAAAATCCTGGAGGGACTGACTAAACATTTCACAGTGGAGCGTGGTACAGTGTCAGTACTGCATTAATGTGTTTTTGGCCCCCTTTATCTGCTGCTTGGCCTTCTGACCCAGAAAGAGGCTGTCTGATGTGCTTGTGGCTGTAGATGCAGCGGAGGTCACTGGCTGGGCAGAAAGTCTTATGATCCGCCTGGCAGAGCGAGGACTCTACTGCACTAAGTGCCATCCGCACATCTCTGGAGATGAGACCTAACTCACAGTGCCTTTTTAAATTCATTTTTATCATTTGAAATATTCATCAAACGGAGGCTCGGGAGGAGATGGGCAGCCGACTAAAACACCAGCAAGACAATCACAGCCAAATAAATAACACATGAGGATGAAGACGCGCGCACACACTTTTACTCCTTCCAGGTTTGAGCGGAAAAAGAGTCAATATAAATGTGTTCTTGAAAACCAATTAGTTGTACTTTCGAATACAATCGTTTTTATTGTAAATTTTCGGTACACAAACCGTCAGAAGTTCTCTTCTAAAAATGAGGATTTTTTTTCTCAGGCTCCTGTGTGTACGTTCGGTCATTTCAATTTTTTTGGCAGAGAGGAGGTTTCTTTTATTTCCTGTAAAGTGAAATAACTGTATATAATAAAGGAGAAAAATGTCAATTTTAGAAGAAAATTTCATGTCATTTAGAGACTTTTCCATCTGAACTCTTCAGTTGTAATCATTAGGGATGGCTGACATGAAACTGACGTTTCGACAGTGTCGAGATCCCAAAGTGCAAGTGTTTCGACACTTTGCACTGAAGCATGATCCAAAACACCCAGGTCATGTGACCAAAGCGATTCGAAACAGCCAGGTCATGTGACTAAAGAGATTCAAAGCATTGGTTTAACGTTTTAAAGGATTTCTGAAGCGCTTCTAGAACCCAGGTTTCATCTTCATCCAGGAATCACTTTAGTCACGTGACCTGGGATTTTCAAATCACTTCAGTCACGTGACTGAAGTGATTTGAAAATTCCAGGTCACGTGACTGAAGTGATTCGAAACACCCAGGTCACGTGACTGAATCAATTTGAAACACCCTGGTCACATGACTGAAGCGATTTGAAACACCCAGGTCATGTGACTAAAGCGATTTGAAACACCCAGGTCATGTGACTAAAGCGATTTGAAACACCCTGGTAACATGACTGAAGTGATTCGAAACACCCAGGTCATGTGACTAAAGCAATTTGAAAAACCCAGGTCACGTGACTAAAGCGATTTAAAACACCCTGGTCATGTGACTAAAGCGATTTGATACACCAAGGTCATGTGACTAAAGCGATTTGAAACACCCAGGTCATGTGACTAAAGAGATTTGAAACACCCAGGTAACATGACTGAAGTGATTCGAAACACCCAGGTCATGTGACTAAAGCGATTTGAAACACCCAGGTCATGTGACTAAAGCGATTTGAAACACCCAGGTAACATGACTGAAGTGATTCGAAACACCCAGGTCATGTGACTAAAGCGATTTGAAAAACCCAGGTCATGTGAGTGAAGCGATTCGAAACACACAGGTTAGGTGAGTGAAGCGATTCGAAACACCCAGGTCAGGTTACTAGAGTGATTCAAAACACCCAGGTCATTGACTAAAGCGATTCAAAGCATCGGTTTAGCGTTTTAAAGCATTTCTGAAGCGTTTCTAGACCTGATGAATCTGCGTTTGACAGGGTTGGAAAAAATCAAGCAAAGCAAGCACAAAGTGAAGTGACTTGTTTTCACAGAATATATTTCAGTTCCGCTTGTTTTTCTAACTTCACTGGCAGCTTTTTCTCATTCTAAAATGTCAAATGTATGTGTGAAATAAAACAGCGTTAGCTCGGTCAAAATGTAATCGTTTATTATGGGCTATTTATTTTTGGCGTCTCCATGCAGCATTTGAGGAATCCGCTTCCTGAAACTAAGCAGACGTTGAGAGCGATGATTCAACATGATCACACCACACAATATCTCTCTGTGGTCACTCGCTGCAGTAAATCCTCATGTGAATCTCAGAGGAGATAAAAGAAACCTCACTCTTGCTGATCTCGGACAGGTAACTGTATAAAATACACTCAGCAGCTCTTATATTGTTTGCGTTGTTTTCTTGGGTGTTTAAACGCATCTAACTCTCATCCTATAATGTAAAATATGCCACTAAGCTTGGAGCCCTGAGGCAACCGTCACTCTGTCTGCTTTCCTCCGCTCTTGTGTCTCCAGGGCCGGCCTTCGCTTTGACAGCGTTTCTGTCCATGCAGCATTTAGAGGAAAAAAGCCACGGGCTGGCTCCTGGTGCCCGCATTTCCCACAATCCTCTGGGGGAAGACGTGTGGCTTGTATGAAGGCCTTTGTGGGCTTCTTCAGGTTAAAGGAACAGATGTTTGTGCCATAGTTGAATACTCTTTTAAGGAGGAACAATGCCCAATGCACAGAGCAGCCCGTGTGCGTGTGTGTGTGTGTGTGTAACAGCTGTACTCTTGCCAGACAGATCCCAATGTGACCTGACATAATGTGAGGAAGATTACAGCGGTCTGATATAATGGCAGATCAGCTCTTGCCGTCAGTGTAAATACTGCAGGGATGATGTTTGTTGTTGTCTGTGTTCACTGGCTGATTTAATGCTCTGAGGAGAAACAGTTCCTCTTAATCACGGCAGTCAATTATTATTAAATACAATATACCTGTTCAGTTTTCTGTTAGACAAGCAAATGTTTTTACAGACCAATACTGACCAATTCTGAAACATGACCAGTTATATATTTCTTAATGCAATCCTATAATCACCATCACTGGATGGTGTAGATAGACGGATGGGTGGGTAGACAAGTGGATGGAAGGGTAGATGGATGGATGGATAGATAGATAAATGGATGGATGGGTGGGTAGATGGATGTATAGTAGGGTGTGTAGATAGAAGGGTAGATGGATGGATGGATTGGTGGGTAGACAAATTAATGGATGGAAAGGTGGGTGGATGGATGAATGGTAGATTGGTAGATGGATTGGTGGGTAGACAAATGGAGGGATGGATGGGTAAATGGATGGATGAATGGTAGGGTGTGTAGATGGACGAGTAGATGGGTCGATGGATGGATCGGTGGGTAAACAAATGGATTTGGTGAGTATGTAGACAAGTGGAAAGATGGGTCGATGGATGGATGGATGGAGAGGTGGACAGATGGATGAGTAGATGGATGGATGGATTGGTGGGTAGACAAATTGATAGATGAGTAGATGAATGGGTGGGTGAGTAAAGAAATGGATGGATGGGAAGATGGATGGATGGATGGGTAGACAAATGGATGGATGGATGGATGGATGGATAGGTTGGATGAATGGTAGGGTGGGTAGATAGACAAGTAGATGGGTGGGTGGATGAATTGGTGGGTAGATAAATGGATGGATAGGTAGATTAATAAATAGAAAATTAGATGATAGGTGGATGGATAGATAAATAGAAGGATGGATGGGACAAATGGATGGATTTAAGGGTGGGTAGATGGATGGATGAATTGGTGGGTAGACAAATGTATGAATAGTTAGATGAATAAATAGAAGGGTAGATGATGAATAGATGGATGAATAAACAGATAAATAGAAGGATGGATGGGTGTGTGGGTAGACTAATGGATGTATGGAGGGGTGGTTGTATGGATGGATGGGTAGACGAATAGAAGGGTGGATGGATAGATGGTAGTGTGGGTAGATGGATGAGTAGATGGATGAATGCATTGGTGGGTAGAAAAATGAATAGATGGGTAGATGGATAAATAGAAGGGTATATGATGGGTGGGTGGATGGATGGATAGATAGATAAATAAAAGAGTGCATGGATGGAAACAGACAGACAGATGAACGGAAAGACAGATGGATGGATGGACACACTGATACTAGACTTCAGTAGATTGTGCACAGTCGTGTGCATGTTAAAAAATGCATTTGACCTCACATTGTGACACATTCACACACAGCCTCTAAAAATGTCTTCCACCTTAAATTCAGATCTGGTCGATTTTTCATGTTTTTTTGCATTCGTGTGGAGTAAGTGTGTGTGTTCAGCTGTACCTGCTGGAGCTCGGGGCTCTCTGCTGTTCTCTGCTCCAGCGGGTCTCAGACCGTCAATCTCCTGGAAGCTGCTGCTCTGTTTTCCCCACACGTGATGAATCTGCATGGCGGCCTCTCGCTCCGCAGCCAAATCCAGATCCTGCTGCGCCAGGTGAGCTCGCAACTGCCGGATCTCAAACTGACCCCACACACACCCACACACACCCACACACACCCACACACACACACCCACACCCACACACACACACACACACACACACACACACACACACACACACACACACACACACACACACACACACACACACACTTTATGTCAGAATTATCAGCCCCCTGTTTATTTTTTTTTTACCCAATTTCTGTTTAACGGAGAGAAGATTTGTTCAACAAATTTCTAAGCATAAGTTATAATAACTCATCTCTAATAACTGATTTATTTTATCTTTGTCATGATGACAGTAAATAATATTAGACTAGATATTTTTCAAGACACTTCTATATATTTTTCATGACATTTAAAGACTTAACTAGGTTAACTAGGCAGGTTAGGGTAAGTTATTGTATAACGATGGTTCTGTAGAAAAAAAAGGGGGGGCTATATATATATATATATATATATATATATATATATATATATATATATA